AGCCTTCCAGGAGACCCAAAGAGTAACCAGAAACATACGCGTGGCTTGCCCTGGGGAAAGGGGCCCTGGACTCAGCCAGGTGAAACCAGGACTTCCTCAGCACCTAGGAGGGCCCAGCCTGGATGGACCACATCCAGCAGGTGCTCAGAACGATTTGTTGAATGAATGGGGGCTTCGATGAGTGGGGGCTCCACAGACGTGTGAATTACACCCTCATTCTGCAGATGGGAAACAGACGCGGGGAGACTGGAGATTTGCTCCAGGCCACAGGGCCGGGAGAGGGAGATGTGGCACTGGAACCTGTCCTTCCGCCCCATGGAACCTTGGTCCAAGAAAATGCCACACCTTGCTAGGAGCTCTTTTCGTTCGCTGCGTTTCTCTCTATACTTGGCTCCTCCTCCTCGCCAAAGTGAAACTGCGGTTTCCAACTGCACGTCAACCTGAAGGGTCCTCCGTTAGTGCCATCTCCTTAAGGACTAGACAGGCTAGTGGCGGGAGGCCCACTCAGCGGAAGGCCTTCCTCCCGCCGCTGCTGTGGCTGAGCGCCCCGGCAGCTCAAGTCACAGCCGCTCTGAGGAGGGGCAGGCGCCGGCGCAGCCAGAGGAGCCGCGGCCAGGGTTTCGTGTGGAGCAGACTGCAGAGTTGTGGCTTCTTATTTCCCATGGAGTCTCAGAAGTTCTGAACCTTTACTTTCTCCAGTTAAGACAGCGCGTTTTAATGCAAGTGCAGTGCCGTTTAGCACGCAGGTGTAAAGGGGACCGGGCCCTAATCCACAGTCGCTGACTGCTCTTCCATTCTCCCCAACAGAAACACAGTACTTCAGCAATAAAACAGAGCTTCAGGTCTCGGAAGAACATTCTGACTATAAACCTAGTGCAAAAGTAATGTTATATGCCAACGAACTGGTAAATTGCTCCTCCTGGGGATTTCCCCTGATGGGGAAGGCGGCTGAACCAGATGTCTGGCTGCGCCTGCGCAGGCGTGCAGCTACCTTGGACCCTCCTCTGCCCAGCCCGCCTCCGCCCCCTCCACTGGGACCGCCTCGTCCTTGCCCTGATCTATCACAACAGCTGCTTACTGCCCTCCTGCTTCCGGTCTTCCCACTCCCATCCGTCCTCCAATGTTTCGTCAGAGTGATCCTTCTAGAACACAGATCTGAAGCCTTACTCCCACCCGTGATTCTCCACTGCTCTCAGAATGAGGTCCTCCAGGCAGGAGCCGGACATTCAACGCTGGCCCCAAACCTGGCTAGACCCTCTCCCTCGGGCCCACTCTCCCAGCCTGCACCTCCCTACACTAGCTTTACGGAATGGCCCGGAAACTCACGGCAGAGCTCACCGTGCCCTTCCACGCCTGCCCGCAACACCATCCTCCGCATGCCCACCTGGGGAGTTCTCCTCGTTGGCCTGTTGAGTCATTGAGTTTAGTCCCTCTTTCTGTTCACTCTGTGCCTGATCCCCCATCTCAGACCCTCCGCAATGGCTGGCCCGCATCTGCCTGCTCAGTTCTGGTGCCAGGGAGCTCACTCCCTTTGGAGGCAGTCCTGGGCACCTGTGGAGAGCCAGAACCCAGAGCCGGCTGCTCTACACTGGGCCTAATTCCCCCCCACCAGCCTCTGTGCTCGGCCAGGAGAAAGCCCGACGCCTTCCCGTGGCCAGCCCTGGAGAGCAACAAGGACAGACTTCACAACGTCCTCGCCCTAGCCCTTCCCCATTCTCATCTTTTAACATCCCAACTTCCTGAACTTATTCCTCTGGTGCTTGGTGTCAAGTCCCTCTGTCTTCTTTCCCTGCTCCCCAAAGATCGGGAGTGTCCCCAAACCTCCTGGTTTCTATTGTGTTAGGGTCTCTTCCCCATCCTGGCCGTGGAGTGGCCCCTGATGCACTCTAGATCCCTGTTTTCCTTACACTGTGGTTTCCAGGATCAATTATAATTCCCTGGGCAGGGACCAAGTGCTGCAGACTGGAGCAGAACCACCACCTCCGTCATTCTAGAAACTCTATTTCTATTAATGTAGCCTGAGGTCGCATTAATTTCTTCTGGCCGCCATATCGGGCTATTAACTCACCCTGAGTTGCTGGTTAGAACTCTCCTATTCTTCCCCTCAGCCCCGCCAGGCTGCATTTCCCTGGAGCAAGACTCTCCAATTCCCCCACCAAATCTGCGCTTCTTTAGCAACTGTAAACTAACATTGACTTAAACACCTATTTCTTACCCAGCCATTTTATCTCTAATCCTCAAAGCCATCTTACAGAGGAAGTACTAGTTATCATTCCCTCCATCCATTTCTCTCTTTCATTTAAAAAAAAATCAGGGGCCAGTGCGGTGGCGCAGTGGTTAAGTGCGCATGTTCCGCTTCAGCGGCCCGGGGTTCGCTGGTTCGGATTCTGGGTGCAGACATGGCACCGCTTGGTAAAAGCCATGCTATGGTAGGCGTCCCACATATAAAGTAGAGGAAGATGGGCATGGATGTTAGCTCAGCGCCAGTCTTCCTAAGCAAAAAGAGGAAGATTGGCAGTAGTTAGCTCAGGGCTAATCGTCCTCAAAAAAAAAAAAAGCTTAAAAAAATAAAATAAAAAAATTTTAAATTATGGTAAAATACACACAACATAAGGTACACCATCTTAACCATCTTTAAGGGTACGGTACACTAGTGTTAGGGATATTCACATTGCTGTGCAACCAATCTCCAGGATGTTTTCATCTTCCCAAACTGAAACTCTGTCCCCACTGACCAATCCGCGCCCCCACCCCTGCCCCTGGCCCCACCAAGCTACTTTCTGTCGCTGTGAGTCTGACTAGACTAGGCCCTTCGTCCAGGTGGGATCGCAGCCTCTGTCTTCCTGTGACTGGCTTATTTCTCTTTAGCATATGTCTGCAAAGTTCACCTTCCTTTTTTTAAAGAAACGTAAGTGGTTAAGAGACCTGCCCAAGGCCACACGGCCAGGAAGAACCGAGTCGAGACCTGAGCTCAGTGTCACTTCAGAGGTGGCACCTTCCTGCCTGGTGTCTCCTAGGACCAGATCCCCCAGGGGGACTCTGCCAAACTTCTTCAGCCCCTGGGGACTGCCTCGGGGAAGGTGCCCTTGATCGGCACAGGATGAGGCTGTCGATTTAACAAACCAGAGCTTGCTCCAAAGTGCCTTCAAAAGGGGAGGCAGCCGACGGCGGACCTTGGGGGAGACAGCGCGGGTGGAAATTTCAGGAACCCAAATGACAATCATGTGGCAGAGTAACTTGTAGCAACTACTTCTAAGTTAAGGTCTCTGCAGAGTTGAGCAGTGCTGAGTGAAAACGAAGGGGCCGATGCAAAGCAATTTAGTAAACACAGTCACGCGGAGCTTGACGATGGGGATGCGTTCTGAGAAACCATCGTTAGGCGATGTCGCTGTTGTGCGAACATCACAGCGTGTCCTGACACAAACCTCGATGGTACAGCCTACCACAGACCTAGGCTACGTGGTACTGATCTATGATCAAGTTGTCATGCGGGGCATGACTAAGGCAAACAAACCTGACGCGCCTTCGTGAGTGAAGGAGTAGTGCTTTACTGTAAGGAGCTGGGTGGACGCGTGCATTTGGGGAGCAGGACGGTTGGAAAGAAAGGCAGAGTGAGGCCCTGCTCTGCGTCCCTGTTTCCAAGTGTGGGGAAGAGCCCAGGCTCTAGTCCTGGCTCTGCCACCCACCAGCCACTGGCCTCAGTTTCCTCCTCTGTAAAACAGGAACCCCAACAGCACTGACTCAGTGGGCTGTGGTGAGGCTGCAGGACTCAGTTCACGTGAAGGGCTCAGAAAAGAGCCAGGCACAAAAGAAGCTCCCCAGGAAGTGTCAGCTCCTGGTACCGGCACGAGGACAGCTAACACCCAACGACGCCGCTTCAGGGCATGCGTTCCACATGTCTCCACTGAGCGCCGCCCGGGGCGCAGGCCGGATCCTCAGTGCTGAGTCTGAGTGGGCAACACTGAACCCAAAGTCTTCCTTAAAAACAAATCGGCCTGTGCCATGATCACTCCTACGCACGAAGTGACTTTCGTCTCTCAGTCACACTTCAGGACGCCTTTACTGGCCAAAGAACGAAAGAGGACACTCTCTGCTGAGCAAGGGCCAACATCTAGGTAAGCGATGCCAGCCAAGGGGCAGGTGCCCTGTGGAACTCTCGCAAGGTGACAAGCTGAGACCACAGGTCCAAGAAGGATTTCCATCCCATGGGGTCTGTGCTTGGCTGGGCCACCTGAGGCAAAGCACGAAGCTTTCCTGGGCCTGTGGCTGCCCAGCTGTGAAGCTGAGTGGGGAGAGGCCACAGCCTGTGACCTTCTGGGGCTGAGAAACACGTCACCGCTTCGGCTGCTTCTCCCCGCAAACATAGAAAAGAAACGGGGAGACCTTTTTCTTTTCAAAGAAGCAGTACCATTTGCTAAAGCAAAATGTTTTGCTGTTCTCCGAGTCCTTGGTCGGGAAGGGGTTCTGCAGAGTGACCGAATTTTCCAGGCAGCTGAGTAAGCCACCCAATGCTGTGTGCCTATTTTGTGCCAGACACTTTCTGTGCTGGGTCCTTTCTGCAAGGTATCTGTGACAACCAAGTGTCAGCTGGCAGGGGGGAGCCATCAGCTGGCAGCCCTCGCCAGAGCCAGTGGCTTCAACACATCAGAAGCAGAGACCAGACTTAACTCATTGGTCTAAACTCTATAGCACAATGCCGGCCATGGGAACAGGGGCGCATATGGAAGAGACGGATTAAGAAAAAGAAAACAAAGTAACCGCTTTGCAGTGGATGTTCACCATGGGCTGCCTGAGATCCCGGGACCACATCAAGGGCTCCGCCAAGGAAACAAGGCCTGGGACTTTTCAAGTATTTCTCACAACATCAGAAAAAGTGTCAACAGTGACAGTTGTACGTAAAAATACAATAACTGGCCTTCTAACTCAGAGAGAAGCCTTTCTAAGATGACAGACACGGCTACGCTACGCGATGTTATGCCTGAAGCCAGCAGACATCCTACCTGGTTTGCTCTTTCAAGGTCCGTCATGATCATTTCCATTTCGTCGGCCCTGGGGGGTGAGAGGGAGAGAGCGGTTAGTCAGCAGCGACACGGCTCGGGGTGGCCACGGTTCTAAACTCAGCAGAGGGACCCACAGTCACACAGGCCAGGCAGACCTTTGTGCAGACACTGCTGCCCACCAGGAGGAGGCGGGCTTGTGTTGCGGGGAGGGCCTGCCTGCACTTGAAGGGGCTCCCAATCTTGTCAGGGAGGCAGAGCCGTAAAAAGATAAAATACAGTGTGTCCTGCCAAGAGACAAATAGGGCTCTGAACAGTGATTGGAAAAACAGAGGAGAGAGAGGGAAGTTGGCAAGGCTTCAGAGGAGGTGTCGTGTGAACTGGGTTTTTAAGGATGAGGAGAAGTTTGCCAGGACGGAGGGAACCATGAAAAGGTGGAGGGGAGGATGGGACTGGAGGTTGGGGGTCTCTGCAGTCTCTCTCAGTCTGCACCTGAGTTCATGGCCATCACCTGGCCTGCTCACACACAGGGGCTTTTTCTTTCTTTTTTCTGTTTTGAAATTACTTCCTTGAGCAATGTGAAGGTAAATACATGGTTCCGACAGACAACATCATGAGAGAGAGGGGAAGCTGAGAGTCCTACCGAGAAGGGCATGGTCAATGCCGAAAGTCTGTAGAGGCTCTAACAGCTCACCCGTGCAAGCTGCCTTCAAGGCAGGCCCTGAAGATGGCCATTGTCCAGAGGCCATGGCTGAGCGGGCTGCAGCCCGAGGCTGGTGTAGCACACCCACGGAAATGGAGCGGAATGCCGCAGCCACAGACCCACAGTGGGGCTTGGGGCTCGCTCCTGCTGGGGCCTCCTGAGTCCACACTCCCTGTGGGCCTGAGCCCCTGTGCTGCCTAGGGGACTCAGTCCCGCCCCCTGGGGCTGTACACGTTGCCCTGCTACACCGAGCCTCCTGCCCACCTCCCACCTTGGCCCACAACTCAACCCAGGGCCCTGGGCTCTGACAATGCGCACACTTGCAGGCCCCTGAAGAACAGCCTCAACCTGCGCCGTCTGCCCCTCCACTCCTGGGCACCTTACCTCCTACCTCCTACCTCCCCCAGCCCTTCCCAAATCCTCCCAGTGGCTTGAAGTAGGCAGCCCCCTCGCCCCTGCCGCCTGTGTGTCTCCTTAGCCCTCATCCTGGTGCCTGCACAGGGCTTGGTGTCAGGCTGGAGGCCATAGTCCCGAATGCAGCCTGTTCTGCCAGCGATGGGCCTGTCTCCTCTCTGGGGTGGCCTGCGGCATCTGTACAGGCCCGACTAGAGGGTTCTTCTGTCCCCGAAACCCGCCACTCTGGTCCTAACCGCCCCCCTTCAATCCGAGAGCTGGACAAACTGTATCCAGGCCCTGGCTGGTCTGTTTGCGCTGCATCCTGCGCCCCCTGTGGCCCTGAGGCTCTTCCAGCTTTTAAGCGCACACTCCGATTTGCGGCCGTCTTATCAACTCCCAGCAGCCCAAACGCAGTCAAGGCCACACGCCTTGTGCTCAGGTTCAAGCCTCAACCTATCTGTTTGAAACAGTATCCTGCTTTCCGATTGGTCTGAGCCAAGTCCGAAACCACTCAGAAAATGGCCTAGTTACACGAAGCTATTTTTAGGACGACTTGGTGAAGAAGGCAGTGTTTCTAAGAGAAACACCCAGACGAGGCCTCTGCAGTGAAATGCTGGGTGCAGGGGGTGGGCCGGGGGCGGCCTAAACTACATATGCAACATCTCGGCGTAGCATCCCCTTCAGAAACTTCCCAGATCTCCCGGAAAAACTGCCGCACCGTAGAAAAGATAGTTTAATGACTACAAAGGGCAAAAATATCATTAGAAGGGTTAAGGGTCTTAAACATAACAGAAAAGGTTAACTGACAGCCGGGACAGAAAGCTGCCCCCTTGACCACCTGCTGATGAAGTGTCAGCTTCACCGGGAGCAGGATGAAAGAACAAGTTAAGTGCAGTTTTGAACTTTAACCAGTTATTCATCGCGTGTCTACAAAGTCCAGAGACACCACAGCGAGCCTCCCCGGCTACTGGCATCATTCATTCACTCATTCATTCCTTCTATGAATGTTTCCTAGCCCTGCATGGGGCTACAGTATGGGCACTTAGAGACACGGCTGCTGCAGACCTTACTAGTGCCACAAAGGTACAAGACAAGGACAGAAATGCAAGCTGCTGAGTAGGTGACAACGTCTCCCTTTTCTCTTGGCAGTTAGACGGGCACGGCCGGGGCTGAGTGAGCAGAGACCTGAGCCCAGGGCTTGGTGAGGGCTCTTCCTGAGTCTCCTGTGACGAGCCCCCCATCCGTCTTTGATTCTGGCTAATGTATCTTCGTCACTCCAGTGCTTCTTCTGCCCTGCCTGGGACTCCCATTATTTGGATGCTGTTGGCACATGGACTCCATCCCCCATGTCACTCAACCTTTCTTTTACATCTGCTGTTTCTTTATTTCCTGCTGCCTTCTGGACGGTTCTTCAGTTTGACCTACTGGAGCTGGACTCTCCTGTAGTTTAGCTCGTCTCTTTTGTTCCCTAGTTCAGTTACCCCATTCTTCATACCAGTTACTTCCACTTCATTCAGTTTTTGGTTATTCCTTGTTTTTGCTTTACGTTACTGGTGCCCTCTCAGGTTTCCTTGAGTGCATTTCTCACGCTTAGTTTGTACTCCTGGCCCTTCTTGTCTGGCTTCAGGTCACACACTGTTAGGTCTGGGGTCTGTCTTTCCAGGGCAGTTTCTCTTGGGGGCCTGGCTGTTCCTCAGTGGGGGTACCAGTTCGTCTTTCTGGTATCGTACATGGAGCCAGGAGAGAGGGGCAGGCCCCCGGCTGCGTGTCTCTCAGCATGAACTGAAGAAGAAAGGCGCCCAGCAGGTGTTCAGCGCATCTTGCTGAGTGAAGGAAGCGGGGGGGAGGGGATAACCCCAGGCCCCCAGAGTCCTCACTGATAACTCTTTTCCACCAGCAGAACCCCTGGCTGAACCTGGCCTTTCACTCTCAGAGAGAAGCAGCATTAGGGAGAGGCGGTCTCCCTGGGTGCAACTCCCCACTCCTGGGGGTCTGGAGATAAGCGGTGGAGGGGCTGCTGCCTGGGGGCCACTGGCCCACCCTCACCTGTTTCCATCCATTCTTCTCCTGACAGTGGCCAATGGGCCAGTACAGGGTCACTCACACACCAGGGCTGGAGAAGAGCGGGGTTTCCAGGGACCCAGCTTCACCTAGTGGCTCGATTGGCAAGGGTGGGAAGCGGCGTCCAGATCCAGCAGGTTTAGGGGACCTGGGTGGCTTGAAGACCTCCTCACACAGCGAATGGTTTCATGCCTAACATCCAGCAAACAATGCAGCATCTCCAAACGATTTCAAGTCACTTACACAAAATTAGTCACATTCAAACAGGAAGAGTGCCTTCTCGGCAGTCTGAGGCAAACCCCGGAAACGAATTTCAAGTTTTTCCATCTTCTGGTCAGTTAAACTTTGGTTACTAAGCAACCGCTAAACTGACCAAAATACTGAACGTGATAACAACTTCTGCACTCACCTTTCATTAGGCAAGCGACTCGTATTTCCAGGCTCTTACATAACAACACTGCGCTCTGCTGTTAGAGAGCGGGGCCACTCACCCCAGCTCTCCTGACGGCACAGGGCCCCAGGGGCCGCAGTACCCATGCACACACCGGACCAGAAACCACAGAAGGGGACAATGGAAGGAACCAGGGATGCAGCAGGCGAGGGAAAGTTCAGATTGTTACTTTAAAAGTCTGTAGGCTTGTGATTCATTTTTCCAAGTGGCATGGCTTTTAAAAGGTCAAAGAAAACACAACTAGCTGGGTATTGAAATGTGATCAGGGCTTTTGAAGACGTGAAGTGCGGCCACTGGCACTTGTAGACCAGGACCAAGATGGCGGGGCCTTTGAGCATCTGCGCTGGGCTCAGCTCAGAACACACCTGCCAGCGAGTCTGGATGACCCGCTCCTCTCCAAACTGCTGCCCCCGCCCCCAACACAATCCCCCCAGACAAACTGCCCTCAATAAGTAATACAAAAATGCCTAGAGGTTGCAACTACAACTCTAAATGTTATCTGAAAAGCGCAGTAATGAATTAAATTGCGTGTGCTTTCCCAGCGTGTGTCAACAATATTCCAAAGGCTTCCCATTCTTTTCATTTTGAAGGCTCAACTAGCACATCAGGGTCCGGAGCCTGACACTAGTCTAAAATCATTTATTTTCCAAAGTCCATAATACCCACACATATTGTTTGCTCAGCAAAACTATTTATTATAAAAATTTAGTTCTCTCACCTTTTTACGAGCTGACAAAACAGCTCTCAGTGATCTATTAACGTGCACCGCATTATGCTCCGCTCTGACTCCAAACAGCGGATCATTGCAGCCTGGCCTAGAATATGTAGTTCGTTCAATCAGTTCCCTACAGATCGTTTCAGGGTATTCTCTGGGCTAGCACACAATGTTTATGAGGAACTTAAAAGGACATGGTCAAGGTCGATGGAAGGGAAATTATATCCAGGCTAGAAACTCTGTATTTACTTTGACACCAGCCTCCCGATGCTAAGGGATGGCACCAGGGCAAGGCTGGCGCATACTTCAGCACCCAAACAACCAAACCGACATCAGGAGCTGTTGAAACAAAGGACATCTACAAGGCAGTCGCCAAAGAGTCCAGGGCGGCCTTCAGAGATCAGTGTGTCTTCTTTGACCCAAGTCAAAAGCCAATAGTCTCAATACCAGATTGTAAAGTTCCTGGGCATCAAAAGAAGAAATATCTAAAGATTAATTCTCCCTGCTTTAAAAGTTAAAAAAAAAACAAACCAAAAAACTCCAGTATGTTTAATAAAGTGAGTGTCTCCCCTCCACCGGGATGCTGCATTTGACAGCCTCGGCTCTCACTTCCATGATCCCTTCATGACAACCTACACCCCAGGCCAGGCTCTCTCAGCACAGCGGGTAGAGGAGACACAGAAGCGGGGCTCATGGGACCGGGTTCAGAAAGAGCAGGCAGGAAAA